ACCCACACTTCGTTTTCCGGTCCGAGGTTTCCACGCACTTCCACCTATCTGCTTTCAGTATTCTGAAAACATAACATAACATAACATCACGCCTTTTATCCCCGAAGGGGTAGGCAGAGGTGCACATTATGCCACTGTACAATGTAACACCCACTTTTCACTATTTATGTTATGAGTCCCATGTAATAGGGGGTGAGCCTATTACCATATACCGGGCACAGTTCCAGACTCCGTGCTACTACTGAGAATTTTTAAAAACCCAGTAATACTTTGCCCGACCCGGGAATCGAACCCGAGACCCCTTGCTCGGCAGTCGCAATTGCGACCACTCGGCCAACGAGGCAGTATTCTGAAAACCTATGCCAAATTCTGGGTACATATGTTTATACATGACCTACGTTACTCACAAAATATACCTACTACCGGCCAAGACACGCTACCTTACCGGTCTCTATAAGTAATCTGTGTCACTTCATTTACATTGTCATTAGGTTATTGCCATCACGCATTTGAATTAAATTATGTAATCGGACACTGTTAATAGTTACAGATACGTACATAATTATAGACTTTATTACGAAGTGCTACGGTAGTTAATAAAGTGCATTTATGAGGCAACCTGATATTGTAGTTGGAATAATGTAACATGGTAACTAGGTGTAATTATACGACTGCATGGAGATTTGTTAATTTAAACTTGGACGAGATAATAATATATTTTTATAATAACTATCGTGAGACATAGGTATGTACTAAATTAACTAAAATCGCGGGTTACTCAGATCGGTCGGATCGGGAGATATATTTTTATCGTTAACTCTTTTCGTACCGTCGCTTGTCGCGTCGTAGGTCAGTCGTACGTCGTAGGTACCCACAGAAATATATAAATAAATAAAAAATCTATGGTCGTACCTACCTACATCTCTAGTCTAGTCATTATGTATTTACATATTGCTTACACATAGGTAGGTTCGATTCTCCCAGGTTCATTGCACGACTAGACAGGATTACGCGACGAGCATCAAGTGGGTAATGATCTCTGGGCTTTCCAGTAAAGGTAACGGTTAACGGTACCGATGTGAAGGTACCTAAGTATAAGTTCTAAGAAGGTTCTAAGATAAAATAGACGAGACTTGGGCGTTGCAAGCTTGTTATTGTTATAGTTGTCGCGGAAAACATAACGGGTAACCGGGGCTCCGGCTCGACGTGCAGGAGAAGGAACGGGGTGGTTTTTAGTCAGTAAGAGTCTGACTCTCCCTCCCGCCTCACCCAGGCGGGAGGGAGCAATTATTCGATGATTTTCCCCACTTAAAAAAAATACATAATTGCAGTGTAGAATGGGGTGACGTTCCAGTTTCATTATAAATTGTTGAACTAGGTAGGTACAGGAGTTTTAAAATATAAAACAAATGCCGAGCAATAATTAGCACTAATAATAAAGATTGATCCAATGCTGTTGCCATAGCAATACGTACCTACAATAGTTTATCGTAAAATTGAAGCTTGTGCAGTATTTAAACTATCATTGACATTAATTTCAAGGTTTTACGTAGATACCTACCTACTTAATAGGTAGGTATGTCAGACAGAGTCAGTTTTGAGAACCAGACTGTTCGATAAATAATTCACTCGCTGATAGTTGATAAGTAGTTACCTAAATTGAGCAAAATTAATTCTGATTTCGGTGGCACAGAAATATTAAAGATAAAAACTTCTTGGTAGCAAGCAAGGTGGGTAACTCTGGAATCAGATCAGGGTGATAGGAAAGGTGACATGGAACATAACTGCTATCCTAGATAATCTTGACATACCATCACGCCTTTTACTTATCCCTTTTATCCCCGAAGGGGCAGGCAGAGGTGCATAAAGGCACATAATGCCACTGAATAATGTAACACCCACGTTTCACTATTTATGTTATGTGTCCCATGTAATAGGGGGTGGGTTTAATTATTGCCATACACCGGGCACAATTCCGTAACCTATTGCTATTCAAAAAGATACAGGAAGAACTGATTAAAATATAACTATGCAATGTATGTGAGGTACAGTATCCTGTTTAATAACGCAGCACTTGAAGAATTGAACAACTCGAATGGCCCATTGTCTCTTCATGTTTTTGTTACAGCGGTATCTCTATACACTTGCCGTATTGCCCGATACTTATGTAAATTAAATATTGGTACCCACCTACCAACATGTGGGTTTACTGTAATAGCCTACCTTGTGAAAAGAGCACAGACAGAGGAAGGCAAATTACCTTGCTTCAAAAATGAACAGCTGAACTGCAATTTTCCGGTTTATGTTTAAAATAGCCTGAAGCGCTGCTGTAGAAATCTAATGTATCATACCGAAATACAACCAATGGAGTTTTACTTTGGTACAAAGCAAGCTAAGGCAGCAGGTTATTTTAGCAAATAAAATGTTATACCTACATATAAGTTTGATTTTTTATTCTTTGATTGTAACCACTTCCACGTTGTAGATAAGGTATATATAGATATTCTAGTATTATATAGCATCAACACGGTGAAGGCTGAATGACATGTCAAGCAATTTAGTGACGGACTCGGCCAATTAGTTTTTGCACGACATCGCGACACTTGATTTAGGATAGGATGACGTAATGGTCCCTCTTCCTTTTACAGGAGAAATATGACTATTTTTACACCTACAGTAATTTAATGTCTCTAGAAGTGTGTGATTTCATAGTCACCGTTTCCTTTACTTTAGCAACAGCTCTTTATACAGCTATGGCCATGGCATAGATTCTATAGACTTTCTTGATAACAATGAATTTATTAATGTCATTTAAGGCGTTTGACCTATTTGAAAACTTGGCAGCTTTCCAAGTAATGCTTACATTACTGCTTTAGGCACAACAAAATCTTGAGAAGCCAGAGCAGGTCTTTCCCCCTGTTCAATAATTTACTGAGGAGGAAACTTTGTGTAGGTCGGTGGTGAAGTTAGTAACTCTTTATGACCTGACACAAAAGGGTAGACGACTAATTTTTATTTTAATGTCCGTCTGGTAGATTATTTAAAAACATTAGACACGTATTTTTTATTTTCTCACAGAAACGAATAGTTTCGAAGATATATTGATTTGAAATGTCGCGTGACGTCACTTCTCAGTACATTTTATACTAAGAAATGACGTTTTAGCCCCCACTCCTAAACTTTGATTCGTTTTATCTAAGTATTGTTTTATTATACGACAAAATAAAAAAATACGTGTCTAATATTTTTTTATTACCTAACTTACGGACTAATTATATTTTTAATTTTCATACCCTGTCATCATCCCCATTAGTCTCTCTATAGTAAAATTATAGTTTCTAAATATGAATGATGCAATGAAAAATGAATGCAAAGTTGTTTACTTTCATCCATGAACACGTAACGTTATCGGCATTCAGCATCGATCGCAATATGTATGCCATGTATTATTTATAATGCACAATGATGTATAGCAGCCCATTATCTGCTGTGATAGATAATAAAAATAATAATTTTTCTATTTTTAGGTACCCTGTTGTTTCAGGTGGTTCGTACATAGACGACTGATAAATTGTGGTATTTTAGCGCGCGTTTTTATTGACCTTGATTAAAAGGAATACAGTGCTACAAAAAATATCTACTACATACATACGTTACATTTATATTTCTCCTTCGTCACGAAATAGGTACCTGTGTCGTGAGTTCGACAATTATTGTTCAGATTAGGTATTTACTCCTTACGTGTACGAAACAAATGCTTTTAGTTCATTAGTAACTGCATTCTAAGTGGGCAATTTATTTTCAAATGGACAAAACAGATTATATTTCATTCATAACAGTAATAACTGCATTTTCTCGCAGCTAAGAAAACATCCATTGTATTGTCTGTCATTCACGACCAATTTAAATAAAAATACAATAGCTTACTTACATGATTATTTATTAACAACTTTAATACAGTTCAATGCGTCCACAACACATGAAATGAATAATAAATACAACATGCGATGCTCAATAATTTAAAAATGAAGTTGCATCCGTACTATAAAATACTTTCTACTATAATACTTTGAATAATTTCACAATTTAATATCAATAAAATAATTATCAGATTTATTGCAAATGTCCATTTTGTACTAGAGTTTATAAGCCAAACATGTTGACCTTTTGACCACTAAGATTGCAAATTGAGGAACAATTATTTGAAAAAGATAAAAAAATGGAAACAAGTTTTTGAAAGTTGCAAATAATTTTAAATCTTTTTAGCTTGCCATTTTATTCATCAAAAATGGCAATCAAAGCCATTGCTTTTCTTGTACCTCATTAGGTACAAGAAAACACTACTCAAATAATATAAATGATAGTAGTTTTTGTGCATATTACACAATTTGCAAAAACATTTGAGTTGAGACAAAAACAAGCTATGTTTTCGTCATTACCCTTGAATAATATCTTCTAAAAAGAATCCAAAAAATTATATTTTTCTCAAGTTTAGAGCCAGTTTTTTAACAATTTTGGTTGTTGGCAAGTATTTTATTTTTCTGATTTTAGGACCTGCCTTAATTATATCTCAATAAGAGCTATTTGAAAGAAAAACAGTCTAAAAATGCTATAAGGTTTTATCAAACAATTACACTACTCAGCTGACCAACAATAAACATCAAAAATATTTTTTGTAATATGATTAGGAAGTTTGACAGCAGTTCCCGCTGCTTAAAAAATATAAAAACAAATTGGCATTACATTATGGCTGCTCGTTAAAGTGATTGCAACTACTTTATATTATTATTATTGTTCTACAGATACAATATACTCTCGAATTATTTACAGGTCTTGCAGATTATGGATACAAAAAATCAATCTTATCTCTACTTACTGCTTTAGATGTGTGGTAACATTTCTAAGGTAGCTTAACTGAGGTTGTCATTGATTGAACCTATTAAGTACATCTACTGTCTGACTATGCAGTCTCCAGCCTTTTATCAGTTAGTGTGTGATGTCTAGTTGTGTGCAGCCTGCTTCTCAAGCCCTGACGGGTCCATAATCGGTGGCTGCTTCTTGACCATACCTGACAGCATGGTTTTGATCTGGGCAATAGCACGACCAGGGTTCAAACCTTTAGGGCATGTTCGTGTGCAGTTCATGATAGTGTGGCAGCGGTACACAGAGTATGTGTCTTTCAGCTTGGAGAGACGCTTCTGAGTGGCGTCGTCGCGGGAGTCGATGATCCACCTGTAGGCCTGCATGAGCACCGCGGGCCCGAGGTATTTGTCGCCGTTCCACCAGTACGACGGACAACTAGTCGAGCAACACGCGCACAGCACGCACTCGTAGAGACCGTCCAGTTTCTCGCGGTCCTTCACGTCCTGCAGCAGCTGTGTCTCCTTACCTTTCACAGCCTCTTTGTCGCGCTGCAGCCAAGGCTCGATAGACTGGTACTGGCGGTAAAAGTTAGTCAGATCTGGTACGAGATCCTTCACAACGTACATGTGAGGCAACGGATAGATTTTTGTCGGCTTGTTCAGGTTTACGTCGATGTGGCTGATGCACGCCAGTGTGTTTATGCCATCGATGTTCATGGCACAGGAGCCACATACACCCTCGCGACATGAACGCCTGAATGTCAGCGTTGGGTCCATTTCATTTTTGATTTTTAGCAGAGCGTCCAGGACCATGGGAGCGCAGTCATCGAGATCCACCTCATAATTCTGAGTGTAAGGCTTCTTGTCGGGCTCGTCTGGATTCCAGCGGTACACAGCGAAGGTCTTCACTCTCTTCCCAAGGGCTGGTGACGTCGCGAAAGTGCGTAGCTGGCCGAAAGTTCCCGTTGTCAATCGCAGCAGCGGCATTATGTAATGTGTTTATTCACAAGAACCGCAAAAATTTAAAGCTATACAAATTATGAGCACTTTACCTATAAATGTAATAGAAGTCGTTAAATTATCGCTTTCGAGTCGGGATATTTAATTAAAATAACAATCGTATCGTTATCACCACGGCACGGAATATTTTTGAAAGATGGTGAGTGAATGATTCAATTTGAGTCATAAATGAAAGAATGAGTAAAACGAAAGTTGAATGCCATGAACTCTGTGAAGAATTTGAAAAATTAAATCGTAGTGATTAATTTATTATTTGCATCAAAATATATTAAGCTAATCTATTAGTATATCGTATCAAAATAATCTAGGTAAATATAATTTTTTCTTTAATCAAGGTATTTTATATAATGTTGCCATCCAGTTCTATTTCATTCTACCATTATAAGTGGAAATCTAAACCAAATCCATCCACATTTAAGATTTTATTTTAGGCATAATCTAAATTTTCAGTTATTTATACTCTATTATAAATATTTTTATTTGATTTTTTTTTTATTTTTTAAATACCATACCTTAGTAGTCTGGATAGAATTCATATTATTTAATTTGTCTTACAATAGTACATATTAACACTGTCTTAGAAATCTGAGTGCTTTGTAAGTACTAAACATAAAGTATAAATGAATTTATCAATGAAGGATTAACAATAGCAAATAGGTAAATAAAAAGTATTAAATAGCAGCACAGAAATTGAACGAATGGAAACGTAATAGTTATTCATTCGGTCAATAATTCAGTGGCGGGAATCGGGAATGTTACGAGACGAAGACAGTTTGACAGATTGATTGACAAAGTATCTTTTCACAACAAATAACTAATAGTTGATGGGAAATAAATAAATTGATCAATCGAATAAAGAAAATGAAGAATGTGTCAGCTTTAAAATCAGATTCCACTAACTCTCCCAAAACTCCTGGCGGGATCAGTAAGTCTCTTTTAACTCCTTGTCGAAGAGTTGGTCTTTCACGGAATTGGAGAAACAAGGGACCTTCGCCGTTTATATCTCCTCTGTCTGGCAGTACACCGACTTTAAGAGAAGTAACCAATGATACGAGGAAGCGAAAATCTCTTGTTCTAGACGACAATATTGAAAAAACTTCCGAAGTGTCTGATGTTGACAACACAAGTGAAATTCAAGTAGAACAAAGTAGCGAAATTGATAAAACCCCGTCCAGAAATGTTCAATTGCCTCGTAAAAAGAAATCTAAGACACTATTAATAGCTATAAATCGTTCTCAAGAGGATGTGAGTGCTAATTTAGAAGTAACTAATGAAACCAGTGCAATAACCATAAAGGAAGACACTTCTGAAGACGTAAGTGTTCAAAACATTGAGAATATTGACGAAGTTTCCACTCCAGTAAGGACTAGGTCGAAAAAATCGAAAAAGCAATCTCCAAGAGTAAGAGCTCTTTCTAAAAATAATAAAAATGCAGATATAGCATCAGAAGTAAGTGCCAATGAGATAAATGATATCAAAATTGGCTCAGATACTGAAAATTGTAAGGACCCAAAAGATGAAGAATACAAAATCAAAGAAAGAAGTCCAAATGATTTAAGAAAAGAGTGTATAGTTGTCATACAAAGAAAGATATTTAAGAAAACCGAAGATAGTAATACAGATACAATGAAAAATGAAGAGAAACATGATAACTCCACATCTCAAGCATTATTTGATTCTGATTCAGATGAGATACCTTTAAATCAATTAAATTCAGCAAAAAATAAGTCAGAGAAAGCTAATGAAGAAGAGAAGAAAACTACAACAGAGAATATAATTGACATTACCGAAGATGATGATTTTGTGGACAAATCAACCAAAGTAAATGTTAACAAAGTCAAAGAGAAAGAAAAGAAATCTCCTAAACATAAATTAAAAACCAATAAACCACTGAAACTTAAAACAGAAAAAGTCAAAGTACAACCTAAACCATCTTCACAAAGCTCTTACGATGATGATGATGATGACTTTGACACCAACAAAAAAACAATTATAATCAGGAAAACATATGAAAAAGTTAGCAAACCTTTAAAAGCTAAGTCTACTGGTTCCATAACCCAACAAGACATTGATGAACTTAAAGCAAGGATAGAGACAAAGAAAAAACTCCTGTTAGCGCAATCCATAAACCCAGATACGGCAGAATTAAGGAATTTAATAAAAAAATGGCAAAAGGGATGTCAAAATGCTTTGATGGAACTATTAGACCTAATGAAAACTAAGTTTCATGATAAACAGGATATGGACTATGCTGAAATGTTGAGAACTTTGAAAATACCTCCATCTTTAGTTGGCTATGATGCTGAAAATGATTGTTTTAACGAACCTAATGATGCTAGCATTATCTTACATAAATTCCAGGATTTATAGCTATAAGTTATGTTATTTTAAGAGTTATTTAATTTAATATTAAAGTTGTTATTGAATAATTTGTAATGTATTTCTTTTGTATGTACACAGTTCTTAGATTTGAAGTTAATATGTCCAGTCGCCTTTATGCAATAATTCATTTTTTCCTGAATGATTGTACCAACTACTTGTCTTAATTTAAAGAATGCTTAGTAGGTATTTTTAGTTGTACAATTACTTTGGTTCTATTGTGTTGAACACATTACTAGTTAATATTATTTAAGTTTTTATTACTTATGGAATTTACATTTCCCATATAATTCGTAGCATAAAACATATGTACTAATATTATAGAAAGGTTACATAAAGATAATTTATTTACTAAACGACTAACCAAGTTATTTAATCTTTACCACCTAGCTTCACCTAGTTTCACTGACGGACTGACTGACAGACGATTATTTATTTGTATTTATTGACGTTTCAAAAGTACCAAACTATGGTTTAATTGAAATAAATGCTTTGACTTTGACTTTACCATGTACCTATAAATAATAGAAATGCAATAAAAAAATTTCTTTCACACAAAATTTATTTCAACAACTTTATAACATAACTACACATACTACAACTATAAATTAAAATCTATGGGATCTAATAGGATTTTCGGGGTCAAACAGCTTAGGGTCCTTCAGGAAGGTCTTGTCCTTATAATAGTACGGCATATAGGCGCAGTTTTGTGCCTTCCTGATCTCACTTTCAACTTGCTCCTGTTTCGATTTACATAATCCAGTAATATGCCTTCCGTAAATGCGACCAGTGTATGGACTCTGGAATTGGGACAATAGTCTATAGTTCTTGTAGTCTGGTTTGATCTTCAACTTGCATAAGATACATTGACGACGTTCTTTCTTGTATGGGTTTGGCATTGGTACCGGTTTGTCATCGCATGAAGTTAATTTTGTATCGTTGGATGAGAATCTTGTTGTCGTTCGATATGTATTCGGTACTGCAAATAGAAAATACGTTCAATCAAAACCTATTTTATGAAAATTTGTAGGTTGTAACATATCTCGTAAGAATGTTCATATAGGATATGTTTGGAGTAAAAACTAAATGAACTTACAAACGTATCGGGATACAAGTGTTCTTAACAACGACATGTTAATATTTTCTGTTATTTAGGAGAAAATAAGAGGAAATTATGTTTTATATCAACATAACCTCTTCAATGTAACGTTTGACATTAGTTTGACGTTTTATTTCGTGATTCTGATTCGTGACGTGAACGTTTAGTTTTTCTCCGTTTTACGTCTTGTTTCATAATAATAAATGCTAAAAAAATACAATTTTTGTTTTAATTACAACTTTCAAAATATATTAATTATTATTTCTATGTAAAATTTGCGCTAACTGATCATCAAAATTCTGTTTTATGATTTTATTTTGAAATGCCTGTGACATTAGACATAGCAATGATCACAAGGCGGCGAAAGGCGATTTTGATGCAAAATTATAGTTATTAGTTTACATCACAAGTTCCTATATATATTTACAACTACAATTTTTTTATATATTTATTTCTATGTAGTTTTACACCAACCAAAGCTGGTTTGTATTGGTTTAAAAGTTTAGGTTGGTACTTTATTCATTAGTGGCGCCTGAATAAATATTATAGTTAGTTTATTTTTAAGCAAAATGCTATGAGTTTTGTAGAAATTATTTGCCATTATCCGTATCCACAGGGTGATAAAGCGATCGGAGATCTAGTTATTTTTCTTTAAATGGTAAGTAAAATTTTAATATAAATGAGGTCGATAATGTTAAAAAAGAGGTAAAGTAAGCGCAAAAGAGAGAAGGGTAAGTGTCTCTTGTGGTCGATTAATTATATGATAATCGAGTAAGCCATATTCCGCATTGCGAGCCCACATAACGGAAGTTCTGTAGACCTATTACTAATTCTTAATTCTTGGGGTATTCAAATTACCGCTACCTCAACTTGTTGTAGGTCATGTTTTAATTGAGAAAGTTTAATTTGACGTCATAATTTCTAGAGGGAATAATAACTTTATCTTTTGTAAAAATCCTGTTTTGTTTTTATATTACAAGTTTCTCGATCCTTGTAAACCATAGATATATAACATTGTAAACAGTATAAGACCTATTTATACGTAAAGGAGTATGTATATTGTATGACTATGCCGCTATGGCGCATAACTTGAATTAGCTCCCAAAAGTTAGACTTTTACTAAATCATCAAAGTAGGTAGGTAGTATGTCATTATTCAAGTTGTAAATTACGAATAGCTAGGTATATTTTTAATAATAAAACGCCTATTTATGAAGTGTGTAAGTATGTGAGTAGGTATTTAATTTACATATCGTCCCTTAGCTTACAACACCGCTTAAGTCATTTTTACCAACTTTACAGGAGACGAAAAAAACTGTCTAATTTAAATAATCTGTGTTTTTTTTCTATTGCTACTTAGTACATACTCTAGTTAGCGGTTAAGAAATAATTATTTATACTTATTTTAACGATTTACTTTATTTTAACTTTTATTTTATGACTTGAGCGGTGTTGACTGATATTTTATTAGATTTAGGCGGTGTTGTTTGTGAAAATGTTAGGGATTAAGGTATTAAAAGATGATTTGCAAATAAAAACTTTAATTAAAAAATATTTCAAGAAAATTAACACTCTTTATCTTATCTTTAAAAGGTATCTTATCTTAAATCTTAGGAATCACATTGTTGAGATCAATTGCTTAAAGTTATTTAGTAATACAGAAACCTCTAGTTGGAACGTAAATGAAATAATATTTTTTTTATATTAATAGGTAAATATTTTAAATATTAATCTGAGTTTAATAAACTCCAAAGAAATAACATAATTATAATACAAATAATAAAAAATACTCAAAATTATTTAGTCTTTAGTTTAGTTGCAGTCTTTAGTGATTGCTGTGTGGAAGGTCATCATAAAAAGAATGGCAATTAGATGGCAATACACTTTTTAGGTCTTGCAAATCCTGATACTTCCGCTTTGTAATTGGTATTCTAGCTGCGTACAATTTCTGCAAGCTATTTATTTGTTTAATGCTGTTAATTGGCGTGGGGCGATGTGGTAACGGGTGAAGATCGTCATCAAAACTAACTTTATACCAAATTGTGCCATTTGGTCTGTATTCTAGCATACGTAAATCTGTGACGACAGGGTCACCTGCTTTTTTACCAGGTCTTATAGATTTATAAATTAATTCTTTCGAAAAGTCTGTAAAAAAACTATAGTCTAAATAACGAGCTTCGTAGGGCATAGGATCACTCCTAGCAGTTTTACTTATAGCCATGTATTGATGTGGAAGGTAAATTTCTTTACCTTTTAATTTACACTCTATGGCACTATGTACCGAATCACATTCCATGTGAGTATGGCCTTTTTCCAGGTACTTTTGAGTAATCAAAATATTTTTTTCAATCGCTAAACGTAATAAAGCATTGCTTAAGGTAACATTGCGATTTTGAGCACAACAACCATCGGAATATAAAACCACAGGCAATAATTTTATACTCAAAACCTTCTCTAGATGGTCTACTAAGCATGAAGCAAAAACAGAGGCTTCAAGCGTACTATTTGACTCATCAAACCAATAACACATTACTTCCTTAGTTGCTATATTGTATAATGTAAAATTATGGACGCATAATTTAGTTTTATAATAAATTGCACTAGCTTGAAGATACGGGGCTAATTTAACCGATTCCACATCCTGTGTGAACACGTGACAGGCTCCGGACTGTGCAATTCCTTTGTCAGTATCCTTCTCTTTCCTGGCTCGATCTTTCTTCAGAACATGTTGAGAGTATTCTTCATCAGTAATGTTTCCAGTTTTATGACTGCAACAAACGTCGCATTGATCTTTCTTTGGGTGGAATAGGCTAAGATTGAGTTTCAAAAATAATTTGTCAAATAATTTACGGCCAAGGCATTCTCTACCCTCTAATTCACAATTATCTTTATATGCGTGATAGAGCTGTGTCATGTTCGAGAAAATTGGTTCTAAATATTCTCGTGATGTTTTAGCACGACAGTAATGCGACGGCATCTTTGGAAGATCTGCTAAAAACTTTTCAACATGTTTGTGGTCTTCAATTTTCCCTGGATTTCTACGATTACTGGTTGAAGTAGACACATCGGGAGGCATAGCACAATCGGTTTTTGTCAACCAATATCTTATAAACCAATCTTTAATTCCAAGAGTGGCCAAGAACATTTTTTTGCAGACTTGGTGACGAACATTATCAATCGTCAAAACGTAAGTTCGACTATCAGTTCTCTTGGATGATTCTGGATTTTTTGTAACTTTCTTCGGTACTTTATTAACGTGAGAAGTTATAAATGATCTTCGCTGCTCCCAGTTCATGTTCTTCCAGAAATTTTCAAATAAATATTTACGCTGTTGCTCGTTTATGTTGTCACATGACCTGAGTTTGGATTTCTTGCAAAACGCAGAAGTGCATGGTGGTTTTATGGATCTTGCAGGCTTAAATACGTCTTGTTTCACTTTAAATGTTTCATTAATCTTTGCTTTTCTGTCTCTTCTGTAACCTAAATAATTTTCACCCTTCATCCGTAATTCTTTATTTATATTGCGTTTATATTTATTTGGATCTTTTGTCGCCTTGTTCTGTCGTTTTTTATGGCTTAACAAATCACCGTGATAAGCAACATTACTGAGTATGACCACTTTTGAAGAACATGATGGAGTAGCAGAGTCGCTGGATTGCTGTATATTGTTTTGGATTGTTTTATTTTCATCTGTGTTAATTACTCTATCCGAAACTGGGTCTTGAGTATTCGTAGTTAAAGCTTCAATGTCAATATTTCCTAGTTCTTGTATAACGTTCTCACATTCTACCGAGATATTGGCTACATTCAATGCAGAAGGCTGAGGATACTCGATGGTCACTGTAGCAAATTCGGGTGGTATATGTTGCAGATCAAAGAAGTCATTACCAACTTTTTCTACAACTTGTAGATTGTGAATGTCAATGTTTTCAATATTATCCAAGTCTATGTTCTGGTCAAATATTGTGTTTACATTATCCTGGCTACTTGTAATACTTTTTATAGACTCCCCGAAGCTTTGATCATTTATTGGTGTTGCAATAGTTTCATATTTATTAGTAGAATTGCATGCTTTAGTGTCAGAAGAATTAATGTTATTTTTTTTATTCAAATCTGAAATAAATAATAGGAATTATTGCATTAAAAACATAAATAACAAAAAATAAACGCGGACCTCATAACAAACCCATAATACTAACCTAGTTTAATTTTTTTTTTATCTTCTTTGCTACTTTGTTTACTCCGTTTAATATGCCTTGACATCAGTCCTGATTCTTGTAATTGGCCAAATAACCATTCATCACCTGAACTAAGATCACTCCAGGAATCTATTTCTTCTCCATCCATAGCGTATTACAATTATTGAGTATCCTAAAAGAAATAAAATACATTTTGAAACACCGCCTAAGTTAAGAAAAAATATTTAGTAAACACCGCCTAAGTAAGTAAAGATATTATTTTATCATTTATTTCTAAATTAATACGCGTAAATTAATAAACATTACTTTATTCTATAGCTTACCTCTTAATCTTCTATTTAAACTTCTTGCATAGACGTTTCAGCTATAAAATTCACATATAAATTGAATAATCCGGAGCGCGAAATATTTTCGCGAGAAAAGTATGACAGACTAACGACTTGTGCGGTGTTGCGACGCCAACTGACTTGAGCGCTGTCACTATTTTTTGAATAACGGCTTTTGATTGGCTGAAATCCGTTTCATGAGACCAATGGTTCGACGCGCAATGCGCAGCTTCATCCAATGGCATTAAAATGTAAAAACCGCCAATTTTCGACTTGAGCGGTGTTGTTAGCTAAGGGACGATATATGAATGAATGAACGTTTAATGTAATTGTAGACATTATTATTTTTTCTTTTGTGTTGATGCTATAAAAATTATCTACCTACACACTTATTTATGAGGTAGGTAGTAATTAACTATTATGTAGGTCAATTATTTTTATTAGGTACATCGCTAATGGTGACGATAGGTAGTGTAGAGACTAGTCTTTGAGAAATTATTTTTCACATTT